TGCAGCACAGGTACGCCAAAATAAGAGCTGCATTGACATTGGAGAAGCAAGTGGTGATCATGCACTGAAAGTTTGCAACACTGGATTACTCTCAGTCAGTGGGCGATCAGTTTAGAGTTAGAAAATCCACAATGGAGACCATTATAATCTAAGTGTGTCAGATCATTAAGTATCTCCGGCTACACAGGACTGTGACTCTGGGTAATAAACAGGAAATAGTGGATGGTTTTGCAGCAATGGGGTTCCCAAATTATGTTGGAGCAATTGATGGCACGTAGTTCCCTATTCTGGCATCAGCCCACCTTGCCACTGAGTACATCAACAGAAAGAAATACTTTCCTATGGCTATGCAAGCTCTAGTGGAGAATCCAGGGCTAATATTAAGATGGGCTGGTCAGGCAAGGTGTATGACATTTGCATCTTTGAGAACACAGTACTTTTTTTAAAAAGGCTGCTGCAAGCAAGGAAATTCTTCTCTGACCATTGGATTACCATTGGCAGTATTGACATACCAATAGCGATTCTGGCTCATGAAGCTGTACACTGGCCACCTGAACAGCACCAAAGAAAGAGTCAACTACCGCCTCAGCAGGTAGACAGAATGGATGCTTGTGCTGTTTACTCACTGGATTGGATCTCAGTAATGCAAATGTCTACTTGGTTGTAGCTGCATGTTGTGTGCTGCATAATAGCTGTGAGGCAAAGGGGGAAAAGCTACCACCAGGGTGGAGGGGCAAGGTAGACAGGCTGTCTGCTGAATTTGCGCAACCAGAAATAAGGGCTATTAAAAGAGCTAACAGTGGAGCTATATGGCTGAAAAGAGTCTTAAAAGACCATTTTAACAGTCAGTCATGGTCTAAGTTCCCTCTAAGCTGCGCCGCCGCACACGGCCTACTAAGCCCTGCGCAGGGGCTCACAGCTGCAGCAGGGAGAGGTGCCCCTTTCTGCAGGCCCTAGCGAGGACCTGCCCCAGACTTGCCATGGCTGGGGGAGAGGAGCCCCTCCCTCGCCCCGGCCCCGCCGGAGCTGCCGGGGAGTGGAGCCCCTCCCTTGGCCCAGCCCGGCCCAGCCCCGCTGGAGCTGCCGGAGAGAGGAAACCCTCCCTCGGCCCGGCGCGGCCCAGCCCCGCCGGAGCTGCCAGAGAGAGGAAACCCTCCCTTGGCCCGGCCCAGCCCCGCCGGAGCTGCTGCAGCCGGGTAGAGGTGCCTCCTCCCCTGGCCCCGAGCTTCTGCAGCGAGAGAAGGCTGGGGGGAGTACTCTCTCCCCACCACAGCCCTGGGGCAGCTGGCACCCCAACCCTCCAGCCCAGCCCTATCCCAGAGCTCGCACCCCAGCCAGAGTCCTCATTCCCCCACGCCCCAATCCTCTGCCCCAGCCCTGAACCCCCTCCCACACTCCAAACCCCTTGGCCCCATCCCCACAACATGAATTTTGTTATGGGCACCAATATGAAGGTGGTGTGTCACACGTCACCTACATATTGGTGCACATAACAAAATTCATTCTGCACATGAATGTAAAAAATTAGAGGGGACACTGGTCATGGTAGTGTTGTCTGATCCTTTTATGAAATAGTGTCTCTAATAGTGTCTCTAATAGTGTGATTAAATATAGGTGGATCTTTGCTACCTGCGTTTGAATTCTGCAATGCTTGGTGTAGACTAATAAATATATACTGAGTTTCCAAAATAGAACTTAAATTTTGTTGCCTGTTTCTTTGAACACAATAAAGTGCAAACAAATATGAAATTAAAAATCTGTAACAGCAATGCAACAGGGTGAACTATATTTTACACCCAAGGAAAAACAGCAGTAAACAGTGATCATTTATGTTCATGTACGTAAAACCTTACTACAGTGTAGTAGGTAGGGCTACACATGCACCAACTTGTTGTTTTCACAGGTTGGTATATGCATAGCTGTAGTTCTCCTTGTGGTTCTCTGGCATGGAGTGGTAAGGGGTAAGGATGTAATGGTACATCATGCTGTGATCTGGTATGTTGGAGGATGTAGGGAGCACTGACCATGGAGTACTCCAATGACTGGAAAGACTGCTGAGTCCAGGGTCTTTAGGTATGTAGGTCAACAAAAAGTGTTCTGCAATATCTGAGTTTGTTGCCTGAGCAAACCCATGATGTCCTGATATGTTTCCCAAAGTGCCTTGGTCCTTTTTCCTTTCCTGAAACAACCTCTGACTCTCTCTCTCTCTCTCCATTCTTGGTCCTTCTCCATGGCCACAGTCATATGCTGCCTCTGAGCCTTTGGTTCCTGGTCTAAGACTGTAGAGGATTGGAATATCTTGGAGAAAATATCCTCCCTAGTCCTCTTTCTCATCCTGATCAGGGTCAGATGTTAAGTAGGCATATCTCTCAAGGACATCATGCCAGAGGCTGCTGATTAAAGCAGTCAGATACATCATTAGATTTAGACACAGTGGACAGGGAAAGATGAGTCTCAAGACTCCTATAAAATCTTTTAATAAGAAATGCTAATTGTCACTTTAATTCTGGAGCACCTCGCTGCAGCAACACTCAACAGCTCAAGCCATAGTGAATACAGCCTGCCCTAGCCAAACAGGGAGGAGGGGAAAAGGGGTATTCTGTTGCTAAAAAGTTTTCAGTGATAGGCACCATTCATCAGGTATGAGTATAGGGACAGTGCAGTGAATATTGGCAATATTTTCGCAGACAGCAATGATTTTGGATGATCGCTCACTTCAGACAGTGACAAAGGCACAGAGAACAGAGCTACTACTGGCATTCCGAAGCCACCCAGGCCTGTATACTGCTAGCCTGATTACTGCAATGGTGCCAGCCAAAATCCTTGCAGAGTGGCATGGGAAAGTCTCCTAGTGCAGGAAAAGAAATAAGGCTACAATTCTTACAAATCTTCGAGAAAGAATTGCAGAGTATCTCCATGAAAGTTTATTGAGATATCTCAAGAGGATAAAAGGGACATCCCTACTAAGATAAACAAAGTACTCTGCATGGCTCCCCTACCTACCCCAACAACCCAAAGAGTTGAAAAGTGGACACAGAGTCTATTTCTCTTTGTTCTACCTCAAATCAGCATCCTGTGCTTGGACAAATGTGGATTGTGTAATCAGACTGCTTTACTACTTTTTTGAATTTATTCCCATACATAATAGTAAAGCAATCAGAAGTCAATTACTTTGTTCTATAAACTTGCAGATGGGGTGGACTCCATTTTTAAATGGGGAAGAACGTTGTGGGAGGGAGGGAAAGAGAGAGAAAGGGTAACAGGCTACAAAAAGTAAAAAATGTATTAGAAAAATGTATGTACACGCTTATCTGAGCTCCCTTCCTCTTCATCATCAAATTCATATGAGCTCACCTGGTGGTACAGGCGTGAGTTCACTGGAGTTTCCAACAGCTTGTGGCATGGTTTAAGTCCCCTGCCACGTCTCTTCTCCCCACCCCCCCCCCACCCCTTTACTATTCACAGCAAGAGTTTCTGCCTTGGGCGCCTGAGAAGTGTCCACAGTCATCTGCAGGGTTCTAGTGGGGTCACTGACAAGTATGGCATGCATTTCATTATAACAGTGGCAGGTCTGTGGGGCAGCACCAGATTTCTTGTTGCCCATCCTCATCTTCTGGTAAAGTTCTTTCACTTTCACTCATCCCTGTTATGACCCCATTTCTGTATCCTTTGTGCCATCTGCATGTTGATGTAGATATTTCTGTTGCCGTTCCACAGATGTGCTTGCACATCCTCTTCTCCCCATGGGCCAAGGAGATCTAAGACTTCTTGTCTGCTCCACTTTATCTACTAGGTCTCTGTGTGGATGGTCAGATACCTTCACCAAAAATGAACCGGTAGGAATGTGTGCCAAATTGGACAACCAGGAAAAAGCATTTCAAAAACATGCAGATGAGTTTTGGGGCACAGGCAAGGCGGACTTCTGGTCTCTGGCCCCGTCAAAAGTTAAAAATTGTGACCGAATCAACACTGTTGCTGGAACAAGGGCACAGTGGGATAGCGGCTGGAGGAATGTTAGGGTTGACATATGTAATGCGGTGTCTACACTCCCACTGCATCAACCTTAGTGGATTGACCAAGGCTCTGCTTTGTTCAGGAAGGTAATGTTATTGCGTCACTGTAATGCATGCATCAGCAGGAGACAGTTTTTGGTGTAGATGTGCATAACTAGGCCTTCTCAGGTCAATTTATGTCAACCATCTTTGTAGTGTAGACCAGGCCAAAGTGTCTCAGAAGGGTAAAGGGCCATGCGCCAGCTACTGCATCACAGGAGAGGAAGCAGGCTCCCCAGAACTGCTACATCCCAATTGGCACAGGTGTGGGAGTCGAGGGGGATAAAAGCCTTGGTTGCCCCACAACCATCTCTCATGCCCTCACAGTCCATAACTGTGCCTGTGTATTGGGAATGTATGCTGTGCTGGATATCAATCTGGTGCAATTTACTCCCTCAACAGAGCAGCAGGGTAACAACACACTCTTCTTTACTCTAGATCATGGCAAAGCTAAGATTGAGCCCTCATTGATAGAATTGCTCAATCAGTAACACTCAGTTTTTGAAACAACAGCTGCATTAGTAACTTCTATAAATTCAAAGTTTTAAAATATTTGTACCTTCTTTTTGTTCCTTGAATTGACTTTCATGCTTGTTTCATTGTTAATAGTCTGTAGTTAACAGTGTGGTCCTCCCCTCATGGTTAGTGGGAAAGGAAGATGCAGACCATGTGCTATGGCTTCTACTCTGTGTCCTTACAATATATAATGCTGTGCAGTACTTTTTTGGTTATAATGATTAGAAAACATTTTTCAGCTTCTGATGTGCTTTGTAGAATTCAGTAGGTACTATCTGTCTTATTTTAATCAAATGTTGGTATCAATTTACAGCTGTTCATTTTAATCAAATAATCCTACTAGTTTGCAGTGTTTCTTTGGGGGGGGGGTGAAAAGTCTTGACCACCTTTTCTACTCTAACTACCTGATACTGTTTCATTTTCTCAATTTAGGAACTTCCAGCACCTTTGTTTGATGATGTCCACAAAAACCAAGTGGAATGGAAAGAAACAGCTATTAAATCTAAACCAGAATCTCAGGAATCCATGAAAATAGCCTGGCGTTACCAGAATTTACCAAAAATTGAGGTAAATACGTTTAGTATTCTATCTGATGTTATCCTATACTTTGATAGTAAGGATAAAATTCACTTGTTCTATAAGTAAAATCTCTGAGTAGAACCTATACCATGGAAGCGTTTTCAAACTGTGCTAAAAGGTTTCCTCGGGAGAGCAAACTGTCAGTCACCAATACATAACTTGATTAGCAAAGATACAGAGAGATGAGAAATTGAGTTTACTATATGGCATGAAGTCCAGATGTACTTCTGAAAAGCACTAAAGGCTGGTGAATATAACACTGTTTCAGACAACTTTTTAAACCTAAAGATACCTATAGTATTGTACATTTTTCTAAATGTAGCTATTCTTAGGTGATATGTATCGGTTGAATGAACAGTACTTATTAGATCCCACTAGTGAAAATACTTTATTGATGCAAATTGTTGACTTGCTTATCCATGTGCGTAATAAGTAAAGTAAGCACTTGAGATTATATCAGCTTCATTGTCACTAGAAACTAATTGCTGTGAAGGTGGCATGTAAGACACAAGCCCAGTGATCACTTCTTCAAAGTTTACAGCTGTTAGTATTTTATTAATTATGTTTTTCCTTGGGCTAGTTACTTTCTTGTTTAATCTAATAGCGAAGTCAAACCTTACAAAAATTATAGGATTTTGGACTACACAGAACAACAAACTTTTTTGGGGGTGCTGTTTGGCTTAAGTATGTTGTATACTGTGATTTAGATGTAATCATAATTGCCTAGTAAGTTAGCCATATTCTAAAAAATTAATTGGAATGTGACAAAATGAGCTTACAAGGCTTGGCATGTTTGGTTTTCTCTGAAATTGTACAGACGTGGCTATATATTTTGTGTCAGAGAAGACTTACATACGGTGACATGCCAAATCAAATAGCCTCCAGTGTGATCATATAATCTCATCAATTTTATTCATGTAGAGCTTGCTATACCACTCTGAACTATTACAAAATATAAATACTGTGTTTTATCCAGTAATGTACACTAAATTCAAAATACATTGATGTACAAACAATTGATTGTCACTATTTCAATACAAAATGTCCTGGGTCTAACAGAACAAAAAGCTGCATATAATAACCCAAAACAAGCTTATTCTGTCCAGTAATATATTATTTAATAGAACACCATGCACTTGTCCTTGGTTATCACAGATGGGATTTGCATATTGAAAGTTGTAAACTAATAATTGTCTGATCTAGAACAACTGTGCAGTCTTATAAGGTATGATTCCCTCATTACCATCAACATTTTCTTACAATTTTTGAAATGTTTCACAATTATGTATTAGAACATTGGTCCCCAAACTTTTTATGTTGCGTTCCCCCCTTACGTGTAACGTAATCTGTGTGTGCCCCATTAGCGGGGGCTGGGAGTGGGACTGTGGTTCGGAGCTGGGGGCTGAGGCTGGGGCTGGAGCTGGGGCCAAGGGCTGTGGCTGGGAATGGGGCTGGAGCTGGGCCTGGGACTGGAGTTGTGGCCGAGAGCAGAGCCGTCGTCCGAGCCAGGGGCTGAGGCTGTGGGGAGGGCCTGGGGCTGGAGTGGAGCTGGGGGCAGAGCGGGGCTCCCTCTCCAACCCACTGTGGAGGCTGGCCCGGGCCCCGACATGACCCCCGAACTTTCCTCCTCACCACCCTTGGGGAGTGTGCCCCACATTTGGGGATCACTGTACTAGAATGCTTGTTTGTTTTCAAGTGAATGCTAAATTGCCAAAAACTTATATGAAATCAATAAGACTTGAAAATAAAGTTATAGTTGTTAAAATAATGGTCAAATGGAAATTTCTTTTTAAAATATATCAGTTAGATGAAAGTAATCTCAGTGATCAGAAATATTTGATGACTTGTTGAATGATGCAATATACACTTATTGGCTGTTTGGAAGTAATAACTTGTGCAGGACCTCCGTCCCTCTGATAGTTTTAATATACCTAGTAATAGCTGTTAAATATTTCAGTTTCCATTAATTCATGTGTGTTGACTGATTAGAAATTTCTGTCAAAAGGAAACTTCAATAAAACATTTTTTTAAAAAGCTATTTTCCATCCAGCTTTAATGCTTATATTTTAAAATTATATTTAGAAAGAGTAAACTGTTTGTTTTTTTTAAATAGGGCTCTAAATGTCAGCGGAAAACTTATCTAGTCAATATCTCTTTTTATGTGTGGCATAAAAGTTGTCTTGTTAGTGGTTCTGTTAACTAATTTAATTTTTAGTTGTAAGTAGCCAAAGAGATTTCTGTTGTGGAGGTGGCTCTGTTATTCCCTTTCCCTTCCTAAAAACAGGTTAAATAAACTCTTAGCCAGCTCATAATTATTTTATATTATGTATCATGTTTAAATTAGAAGTCCTGGCTTGAACAGTGTATTTTATATGTGTAAATATGAATATATTCTTTATATCCTATATAAACTATAGATTTAGGGTAATCAGTCAAAAGGAATTGGATATTGTGTGTACATGCTGCATACGATTACGAATTTAAAAGGTACTTTTCTCTATATCCAGGGATACACTCATTGAAACTCTTGGTAAAAACTTCAGGTATAGCCTAGTTTCCAATGAAAGGTATAGTGGGGTTTTTTTCCCTGTTTTGTTTGAATAACTGCTTGTGTTCTTGGGGCAATATATGAACTGTCACAGCATGAAATCAATTTTCTGCCTTGATTCTCCCAAATCTGAGATTTCTAGCACATTAGTAGTGCAATTAGAATCATTAACAGCAGACGGTAGCATAAAAGCGCATTCTGCTGACTGACAATTTAGTGTCTTTTTCTCCTTGTGCAGACGAGTTCGTAGGAATCCAGTAAAGAACTGGCTTGAACCTACAATCCAGAAATAAATTTATCACTCAAACTTAAGAAGAATGAAAAGTCTCAGTCTCTCTCTCTCCTCTCTTCATGGCCAGTCTGCTAACACAGATTATTCATGCTTACTTGATTCAGGTGGGCTTTTTGCAAGCTTCCCCACTAGGCCTGGGAATGTGGTACATTGAAGTCTATTCAAGGCTTCTGACATAGACTGAGCTTTTATTGCGTGGTGTTTTATTATAGCCAAATCCTAGTCTCCACCCAGTTTGTAGGCACTGTGCTCATTCTTTTGAATTAAGAAAGGTTATCACCTACCTTAATCCATGCAGCAGTGTGGATTAAGGACACCAATGTGCCCCAGGATTTTCAAAGAGGATCCTGGAAACTTCTTGTTTCTTCTTTTTTGCTGTCTTTACTAAACTCTATTGGGCCTCAGTGAGGATTTGCATCTGAAATGGGCAACCTGGAGCTTTTCTCAATGAAGACATCAGATCAAAGTTCAGTTAGTCAAGGCCTTTCTAAAACATTAAGGGGGTTTGGGCGTACACAATAAAAAGATGAGCCCTGGCAGAGATTGCAGTAAAAACATTGTGTTCTGTAATCCGGATAAAGGATAGATTATAGGCCAAAGAACAGCCCCTTTTAAAATTGCTTTGAGAACCCTCATACTAAATAACTTTACACTTTGCATTTAAATATATATTTTACCGTAATAGTTTGTTTTATTTTGTAATTTAGAATGTAATTTCTAATAAGTACAATTTTAGTAGTTTTAGAGAGCTCACAGGTTTCTTATAAATATATTAAATACTTTAGATCTTTTTATAGAATAAAAAAATGGTCTATTAGTGAAGACCAAGGACTTCTAAAGACTTTTTTTTTTCTTTTAAAGACTAAAAAATTTTTTCTCTGTGTTTATAGTTTTAACATTTTGTATTTTCTGACAGCTAACCCAGCCTAATATGCATTTTATTTTTCAGGCATTAACTTGGTAATTCCTAAGTACAAATGTAAATAAATTCAAATAATATAGTTTTAATTAAATCTGTGATTTTAAAGTGTTTTTAAATTTGAAACATAAAATAAAAACTAGGAAAATGCCTAAGAAGGTTTCCTTCAAAAAAGTAATAATAATACCCTGATACTAACCAGGTCTGTCCTCTGTGTGTATTCAAAGTCATATATGTTTATTTTAATGACAAAACCATGTCTTATTATTTTTACTCCTTTTAGAGCTGTCGAATCCATATCATGTTTAGAATGGAAACTAAATTCTTTTCTGGTTCATATTTAACAAATGTGTAAATGTTTCTTTGTAAATTCCAGTTTCAGTACTACATTTTGCTCTTCGTTACACTTATTAAGCTATCCGATTGTTTTCAGTGAGGGAGGCACAATTGTAATTTAGGGCAGAATTTGTCCCAAAGAATCCTCATTACTGATGACGATACATAAGTCAGAAAGAGCCCAACTCAATTTTCAGATGTTTGGTTGTGTTTGCAGTATTGGAACTTTTTAAAATAACTAAACAAAAACTCATCTTTTCTATTGAGAAACCCTAAACATAATATCTTCTCATGCTATTTTTAGTCACTTCTCAGAGTGCAACCACACTGTAAGTGCAAAGCAAAATGCATGTTCATTTCATCTAAAGCTTCTGTTTTTTGCGCAGATGAACTTTTTAATCTGCTGCACACAGTGTCATGACTTTCAAAGTTAAATCTGTGTTGCTTTACAATGACTATGGAGCATGCATTCTTAAAAACTGCTTAGTGTCAGCCCTTGGCCTAAGTCACTGAATTTTATACTTAGGCTATGTTTATACTGGTGTGTATACTCGTTTACCTGACTGTGTACATCCTTGCGCATGCTCCCCATACCTACGCCAAGTGTTCGCATATACCTGTGCTACTTTTGTTACCTGACATTAACACTGCCATTTCAGGGTCAGTATCCCAGGGTCCTGTGCATCAGAGGGACACGCTTTAGGAACCACTTTGCTAGGTGGTGTTTGTTCTGTCCCCTGACTTCACACATTTACAAATGGCAATTCCTGCTCACCTGTCCCTCCTGCCAAAGTGGGTGGAAGGTGTGGGGCAGCTGGAGGATGATCTGGTTCTGCCCCTGCTTCTTGTTGCAGGACAAATGTTTATGCAGTGGAATTAGGTGATCGGCAAGA